GGGTATGGTTTTCAGCGATTCTACTCTGGAACAGGGTATATAAAATCGCGCTCGCTCTAGGACAGGGTATATGAAATCAAGCTCTCTCCTCTCTGGAACAAGGTTTTCAGCGATCTTGCTCTGGAACAGGGTATGAATTTCAGCGATTTTTACTCTGGAACAGGGTCAGAGTTCAGAGGGCTCAGCGGCACATCCCTACCCTAAACGGGCAAGAGTACCCCTCCCCCCATCCCCCCGGTTATATATTGGTACGTGGAATAACAAAATATTCAATGATCCTTCAAAATAATTCAGTTATGCTTTATTTTATTTATTTTGTAAGTTTTTCCTTATTTCTAACACACGAATTTTTGGCTTCATCTTTGATAACAACATTGCAACGTTTTTAGCCCCATTTTATTTAAGTGCAGGCTACATTACACTATCTGTCTTAACTTTAGAATTTATTCTCAACAAACCAGTTAACGTCAACCGAAATACTGAGGGTAACAGCAAACATTCGGTCTCTGATAGCAATTATTGTTGTATCCATATCCTCCAGGACAGGTGCCCCGTAAAATCCACTTATCTCCTCGACCAGCCTTGCCTTTACAATAACATGCTGCTGCTCGTTTTTCTGGTACATAATCTTTAGAAAATAGACAAATCAATCAATCAGGCAGTCAATAAGTGTGTGGATGCACGGATGAAGAGGAGACAGAGAGAGTTAGGCAGTTTTGGCGCAGTCGGAACGGCGTATATCGATAGACTTTTTTACCAAAATGCAAATGGCCAGTTGTTCTCATAAACTTGCATTGGTTATTTGGCGAGGACCAAAATTGCAGGTAAATTTAAGATTTAAGTCCCTTTTATTCTAATTACATTCGGAAAAATTACAACATGTGTTCAATATAAATACCTTCTTTCAGATCTTCTGCTGTAAAGACAACCGTGGCACAAAGCAGCACTAAACACAGCAACAGAGCTTTATTCATTTTGTTGGCTTCTTTTCCTAATATGTAAGAATGAAAACCCAATATCAAAACCTATCCACGCGCTTTTTATGACAATACCGAGTACTTACTAAAACAATCTTGTGAGATCTTTAGTGAGAGCAGTTTGAAATCACCAGTGTTTCGACCTTGAGTCCGTCATCAGAATGAAACGTTTGCTGATTCTTAGGTTTACTATATTGTGATACGTACAGACTGTAGATAGGAGGTATCCTTTTCCCCAGTAGGGGTACCCTTCGTCTTGTAGTAGTCAAACAAGTTTCCATTCCTAAACGTGAAATAAAACAAATTACCTTGATATAATTTCCATCCTTGTCCAATATTATCGTATTGCTCTTTCTTAAAATGAAATTTAACGTACATTTTCTACTTGTGTAGCTGGGGAAATATTGCTCGTGATATACTTTACAGGCTTCTTCCAACCCTACCCTCCCCTAGCTAGTCAAGATTCAAAGCTCATCCATATTCAGGTATCAATAATTAATTACGCCCCTTCCGCCTTTAATTTGGCTAACTATCATTATACATATCTCTGCAGACACTGTTAACAGCCCATTATTCAAATTTGCAAAGTTCGTTTCATTGATGCAAGTTTCAAAGCGGGATGGAAATCAAGCTTCGAAAAATAAAACGAATCTTTGAACCTTGATAGGAACGCATATGGGCTGGTTTGACTGTAAATATACATAATTAAAAGACAGTGCCGTCAAAACGCATGCACTCTCACGCCATCACTAATAATTACGCCCATCGGGACCTTTTTAGAGTGCACGCCATATATCCATGAAACGATTACTAGGAATGGATCATAAGTAGCGTGCATCCATCGAGTTATGGATACACTTGGGAGGCTGCTAAGCACGAAGAAAAGCGTAAGAGTTGCACGACGCGAAGCCATGTAGCGCTTAAATGAGAATTTAGTTATCACACGTATAAGAAAAACACCGCCGCCCGTTTATTAGTGGGAGCCAAGAGACAGTAACACGCGCCTATTTTAAGGGAATTTCAATGGTTACCAGTTAAAAAGCGAATTGAATTTAAAATTATGTTCATCACTTACAAAGCATTACATGATATGGCTCCAGCTTATATTTTCAACCCGAAGCTTGCGATCATCGAAGAAAGTCCTCTTAAAGGTAGCAAGTCAAGTAAAAACTTCAACATATGGACATAGGACATACTCTTATGCTTCTCCACATTTATGGAACTCATTACCAGATAACATTAAAAACGCTCCTACGGTGGATTCATTTAAATCCCTACTTAAGACATACTTATTTTCTAAATAAATTTTTAAATATCACGCTTATAAACATTACATTATACAATATATATCCAGTTTTTACCTGAAAGTACCCTGGTCCCAGAGCTTCTCTCTCTCTCTCTCTCTCTCTCTTTCTCTCTCTTTTGTACCTTTTGTACCATTTAATACTCAAATCGTTATCTATAATTCTTTAGTAGAACCTCTATTTAATTATTGCTGCGAAGTATGGGGTAATTTAAACAAAGAACTTGCCGAAAAACTRCAAAAACTGCAAAACAGAGCAGCAAGAGTCATAACCCAGTCAGACTATGATATTAGATCTGTTGATATTTTACAAAATCTTGGCTGGGAAAATCTTGAGCATGAACGCAAAAAGGCTCTTGCTGTCTCTATGTTCAAATCTGTGAA